AATCCTATCAGCAAGTTTCTCTTTAAAATCTGCCTTCACTACTAATATATTTTTTGTATCGAGTAGCCTTAGGTTACTCACCTGTGAAGTAAAGGAGTGGAACAAGATATTCTTACGTTTAATTTTTTTTCACTAATTCATTTTTTAACTTGACTACACTCTATCTGTATAACTTCTCTTGTATATCTAATTTGACATTATCTTAATTCTTACCTTACAGAAAATTTATAATATTTCATGCTTAGTTTAATACCTGGCTTTCATTTTTCATGTTTCTCTTAAATAATACACTATTCTAGAATGTCCTTCCTAATAAATTGGGCTTCAGTGGTGCCAACCTACATTCCAATTCCTTAGTCTTTTCTGGTGCTGTGTAGGTCCTCACTTTTCTATGTCACTGTTGCTAGAGGACCTTCAAAGACTGTTTACATTTGGTTCAGCAGCTTATTCTCCATCCCTGATTTTATCTTGGCAATGATCACCAGCTACTTTATGGAATGAAGCTAACCTTAGTCTAAGAGGAGACTGAGAGGACATAACATAAAGGTCAGTCTTTTAACATGCCCCATCTTCCACCTATGAGCTTTAGTTCACATGGCAACTTGATATTTCCTTGTTTCTAAATAAGTGAACATAAACTTTCAGACAATATACAAATATTTATTGCTTTTGTTTTCAATTACCTGCTTACTGACCTTAAATGAGTACTTCCTCTTAATATTTAACTTGTAAAGCTTTCATATACTATTTTTAACTTTAGAGATCCTATGGTCTTTTTTACTTTGAAAGTATTCAACAGTTCTCTATATTACTAGAAAAAAAACCAGCTGAGTCTCCTTATTTCCTCCTTACATGTTAGAGTAGTAGCACAATTCCATATGTATTTAATATATATATATTTTGAAATTAGAGGTCAAGTCAATTGCACTGTTTTAAAATCCTCTTTTATTCTACATTTCACTTGAGGATTCCATTTTTTATATCAGATTTTTAATATGTATCTGATCTTTGAATACGTTTTCTTTCAACAAAGTCCATTTAGAATTTTTCTTTGAATTTATGCAATATCTTTTACCTTGCTAAGGATATTAATGCCATTTGATTTATTTTGTTCTTTATCGTTTATGTTAGAGACTCACGGCAAGCTATAGGTGCTTAGTTAAGGATGAAAAACTATGAGCTTCACTTTAGGGTGATTTAGTGGTTCATTTTTTTGTAAATCCATGATATGCGCCTTTAGGTGTAGTTGTTATAGTACAATAATTAAGACTATGAACTGGTAGCCTATTTACCCATGTTTCACTCCTTTGGCCAGGAGGAAGCCACATGAATTCAGGTGAACTATTAACTGCTCTGTTTTCATTTTCTAATTTTAGAATGGGGACAAAAATATCTACCACCTAATAGAAATCTTAGAAGACTTAAATGATTTATTATGTACAAATAATTTATAATAATGTTTGGCACATGCTGAACTCTATATGTGTGTTAACTGCTATTATTACCTTTTATGTTGTTATTGTTTTATTAATATTATTACTATCTCTTTAGAGAAGTTCAATTTTGCTTAAAAATATCTTCCTGGAGGAATTCAAAGATCAAAGACAGGTAGAGGGCTAACTGATCTCAACACTGGTTATAGATTCCAATGTGTTCCTTCTGGTTTCAGGGTGGCTCGCCTAGATCAACTCATCCAGTGTTCTCTTGTTAGTTCTCACAGAATAAAACCTCTAGCCCTTTGCTTGGGTGGGATGGAGCAGTCACAAAGTTGCTCAGAGATAGTTGTTTTTAAGACAGTTTTTAAATAAATTCTACTTTTGTTAGACCTTTGATCATTCTGGCTTTGAGAGGGATATAGAAATGCTAATCTCAGAAACTTTTGCAGGGGAGAAGGCGGCCCTAAAGGTTGGTTAGCTCAATTGCAATTCATCTGTCTGCATTCCTCCTTCCAAAATTTTATTTCTGCTGCACTTTGTCTGATTTTCTTTGCCTTGCAGTTTCATGTCATAGGAGAGAATATGTGTTCAAAGATGATATTCAACCTTCCATCTTTGCCAGAGTACTTAGTGTTTTTTAAGAAAAATAAAACACGAGCAATTGATAGTATTATGCTCTCAACAAACAGAGTAACATAAATGTCTCACTACTGCATAGTGTTTTTACATGTAATGTCTTATTTAATCCTCACAAAAACCTTAGAAGTTTGGTACATATTTGACTACCATGTAAACTAAAATTAAAAAGAGATTAAGTAGCTTGCATCAGAACATATATTTTTAACAAGAGATAAAGAATTAGTGATCATTCTGACTCAGACCTACATTATTCAGAATTTATCTATACATTAGTTAAGTATAGGTAATCAATTATTCATGTGCGGCCATATTTATAGAGAAAAGTACATGGTTAGCTTCATATTCAGCATAAGTGTTTTGTTCAGATACTTTCATCATGTACTTTATAAGCCATCTTAGGTGCTTTAAATTTAAGTGTTTCAGTAAAATTCATGTTGTTCAAGCCTTTTGTGTTTGAACTAGTGATGACTGTACTATCTTCACTACTGAAAATGATAAAAGTAATAAAGTTTCCTGATGACCCTAAAGGCTAGTTTTGTATTTTAACTTTCTATAGAAATAGTTTGAATTTAAAGACATCACGTACCACACACATACATACGTGCAATCCACAAAGACTTTAATCTTATCTCCCATATCTGGCTACACAGTGTTGTGTTTTATAGCCATAACTGATAGATGACTGTGCTCAGTTGGAAACTGTAGTCAAAGAATGAGCCAAACTAGCAAGCAAGCCATATAAAGTGTGAGTGAGCAGCAGATAGTCAATATTTCTAAACTGAAATATTTGGATGTCTATTATGAGAAACAAAACAATTTGGGTAACTTTTCTATCAAAACCTGTTATCCCATATAAGAATACTAGAAATAGGTTTATTTTCTGTAGACAGGAAAGATGATTGAAGCTGTGCAAAAGTCATAGACAATAGATTCAAGAAAACCAGAAGTATATTAAGAGATATTTAAGTAAAAATGGAATATAGGAAGTTATTAAAAAAGACCTGTTGTATAGCACAGAGAACTCAATATTTTGCAATGGCGTGTATGGAAAAAGAATCTAAAAAAGAATGTATATATGTATACACTCTAGCCTGGCAGGTCTATGGGATGGCAAAAGAGTCAGACACAACTTATTGACTAAACAACAACAAAGATGTTACATTTTAAATTGTCAAGTAGTGAACATGCAGTTTTGATTATATGAATTTTTAGTATTACATTCATGGGATTGTGTTTATTATCAGTCACAGATTCACTAAATCAAAAACTATGTCCAATTTTAATTTTTATATAAAATCTCTTTAATATGAAGGTGAGCTCTGATTTTGATTTTATTTTGTATTTTGACCTCACTTAATCTAAATCATTAGGAGAAAACATTTTTTCACCTTTGAAAGGAAATGAACTTGTTATAGCTAGCCTCATTATGTTCCTAATTTGGATAGCGTAATGTATCTTTGCAAAATCTCACTATTGGTCATAATTATTCCAGTAAGAATATCACCATAGTCTTAACTATGCCTTTCATTTCCCATTTCTACTCCAAACATTTGACTATTTTCCTTAAAAACAACGACATTCCACCATAGCTGCCCAAATTTGTTATCATGCCAATCTCATTCTGGGAGCTCTAGCTGCCTTCTTTCAAGGACTGGCCTTTCAGCATGTTTTAATGTTCATTGGAGAGCAAAGGTCTACATTTTTATTGCTTCTTAGCTCTAAAGCTATACTTGTTTTTATAAAGCACATATTAGGTATTTCCTAATATATTACCTAAACACCATTAGGTATTTCCCCACCTCCAAATTATTTTTTTTTCTTCCCATTTTATCATTGAAATAGTGCCATAACTTTTCAAAATATTATTCTGTACTAACTTTTAGGGAAGGGATAATATCACATTTATGTCCTATCACATGTAGGACTAAATACATGCTTAAACTGCAAAAGACTGTGTACCTATTTATTGGAAAATAGTTTCAATGTTTTACGGCAGAACAACCAGTGAGGTAAAAATCCTCCTTGTGTTTATAATTGGAATATTATGTTTTGTGTTGGTATAAGAATGAAACTAAGGTAAGGTTTTCACAAATGAGCTTTCTGTGAGCAGATGCTAACCTTTTCCCTGTTTATGTTTTACCAGTGCCTTCTGAACAAAACCCATTCCTTTCCTTTAGCAATAAGTCGTACTGAAGTCCTACTGAGAATTTCCAGCTGGATATAAAAACTCTTCTATTTTCTTGGTCCAGGAATCCTTAGTTAGTAAGACCGGGATGATTGATTTCCTGTTGTCCTGAGGCAGGTTAAAAGAAGTTCTATGGTGTCCAGATTGTGTCTCAGCAGAAATGTGGTCATCTTACTTGTAATATCCTTATTTGTAACAAATTCCTCTCGTCTCTTCAACTTATATTTGTATGTATCCTTGGGGGATAATGTAACATTTGTCTTATAGTCAACAACTGAATTCAGGGGGAAAAAAATCTCTTACACTTTTACAGTGTCGATCGGTGTCCAGTGTCTGCATTTTCTAAATATGATGTTATAGTAATGTTGAAAGATAAAATTATACACATGAGATACTCATGTGAGTTACAAACACAAAAATCCCTCCTTATTAGTCTGTTTTATTCTCTCTTTTTTATTGCCTCCTGTGATTTACTAGTTGTGAACTTTTGAATCTTAGGGCATTTTTTATATATTTGCTAAATAAATCTGCCCCATGCCTGGAAATACGATGAAGAAATGCTCTGAGAAATGTTTCTTCACAGATATTGATTTGTTGTTGTTGTTGTTTAGTATCACTGTTACTAATAATACAATGATGCAGTATTACGAGCAAAGTAAATATGGTCAATTTCATCAAAATATTGTAGGTTCACCTGGAAACTAAGGAATATCTTTCTTATGTATCCTGTTTTTCCCCAGAAATCAAAAATCTCCACATATGACAAAATGTGGGCCTTTATGAGCAGCAGGAGGCAGTCTGTGCTCGTCAAAAGTAATGAAGAAGGAATCCAGAGAGTCCTCACCTCTGATTATGCTTTCCTAATGGAGTCAACCACCATCGAGTTTGTCACCCAGCGGAACTGTAACCTTACGCAGATTGGCGGCCTCATAGACTCCAAAGGTTATGGCGTCGGCACCCCCATGGGTAGGTTTCCTGTCAGCCACTTCTTCTTTGCTCATTAATCCTAGTTGCTGTGAGAAGGGAGAAAAAACAGTGCCTCCATATGCCATTAGGAATTTTGCTTCAAACAAATGTATCTTACTATATTCTGTGACTATATAAAAACAGGAAAATAGTTGGACATCTGCTTCTGAAGGAATAAGTAACAAAAGAAAAAATGATTTCTACTAAAATTGTCAGTAGACATTTTTACTATATCAGAGTTGAAAAAATCCACAACACCCCCCGTAAAGGACCTTCTCTTTAATCTTACACATAAAAAAAAGTTTGATGAATAAAATAAAGTTTTTTGAACTTAATTTTTTCGGCGTGGTGGTATATGAATATAGTATTTGATTTTGCTGACTAAAAGAATGAGCTGCAAATGGTTACTTTGAATAATCATTTTATTTAAGAGAAGTATATATTTTATTTAAGAGGACTAGCAGACAACTTACCAGTAAAATACCTAGAATAATTTACACTAGGATTGAATGTATTTAACATTCTTTCTTCTATATGACAAAATTAGTTTCAATAATAATCATGGAATGAAATAATAATAATTGCCAGAAAAGACAATGAAAATTTACATTTATTGAGCTTAATATTTATGTATAATATATGAATATGTATATATTTATAGGATAAATTAATGAATGAATAAATACATGATATTAGAGCACATACATGCATACATGCTGTGGGCATAAAAATGGCTCCCCCCAAATGTTCCTGGTTTAATCCCCCAAACATGTGAATATGTTACCTTTATTGCTAAAAAGGACTTTGCAGATGTGATTAAGTTAAGGATCTTAAAATGGGGAAATTTCCCTGGATTAACCACGTGGGTCCAATGTAATTGAAAGAGTCCATATAAGAAGGAGGCACAGGTGTCAGAGTCACAATTAAGGAGATACCACAACAGAAGTAGTGAGAAAAAGAATGTGCATATGCTAGTCCACTTGGGCTGCTGAAACAAAATACCAGAGACTGAGTGCTTGAAAAACAATAGTGAATAATGACACTATAATAGTTTTGAAACTTCTGCAAATTTTTCAACAACTGGGTCAAAATTGATTTTCATGTAATTGTATTTAAAAATGACATAGCCATATTTCTCAATGTATCCTCATTCATAATTTTATTGCTTTTAATTTTGAAAAGTTTCTTGCAAATCAACAAACATGTATACTATAATTAGAAAGTGAGGCACAGATTCATAAAAAATCCCATTTCATGATAAATTCAGAAATTGCAATACTATCCATGTCTTTGTTTCTTTGGCATCATTTCTAACAACTTTCAAAAGTCTAGGAAGTCCAAAAATTTTCCACCATAATAACTTCAAAAAATTCAAACTCTTTCATATTTGGTAAAGTTTATTCAAATTCATTATAGCTGAAAATAGTTTGAACTGGCTCAGAGAGAATTTTGAGATATTCACTCCTGTAGCATTGTATATTCCAGCATTTATATGGTAGACTAAAAACAGTGATTCCACAGTCACTGTTGAAATGAAGAAAGCAAAACAAAACAAAACTAGAAAGAATCTGCCTGCATGTGGGAGACCTGGGTTTGATCTCTGAGTCGGGAAGATCCCCTGGAGAAGGGAAGTCCACTCACTCCAGTATTCTGGCCTGGAGAATTCCATGGACAGTACAGTCCATGGGGTCACAAAGAGTTGGACAGGATTGAGTGACTCACTTTCACTTTTAAGCTGTATAACGAGGGTTTTCCAATTTAGTTTCCAAGTGGAGTGCAATGTTTATTAAAGAATAAAAAATAAATATTTGCTAATTCAAAGTTCAATAAGAGTTGGGTTGTTAAAACTCAATACTAAATGTTTAGAACTCAGTGAACAAAAGATATTTTCCAGGGAGGAATGTTTTATTTTTGACATGTTTTGACTTGCCAGTGTGTGGTGATAGTTGTTGCTATTGTTTTAAAATTGTCTACACAAAATGAACCTCCTTTACTGTTCACACTGGGAACAGACTATCCAAAGCTTTGCCATTATTGTGCCAAACTATATATAGTTAATTCTAACATATAAAGATGATTGAGTTATCCTAATTATAATAAGCTTAGGGAGCATATCTTTTCAAAATGCTTTAACTTCTATTATCAATAAGGATTGGGTTTATTATGGTAGTTTTGTGTTGATCATGTGTTCAAATTCTAGCATGCTCCCTAGTTAGATCCCATATGCTTCTTTCCCTCTGTAAGAATTCCCTAAAGAATTCAACAGTTTCATGCATTCATGTACCATTTATTTGTAGTTTATGATGAGCAACTTTGATAAATTTTCAAGCTTAGTGAAAGTGAAAATATTAGTCACTCAGTCATGTCTGACTCCTGGCCATACCATGGAGTATAGCCTTCCGCTCCTTTGTCCATGGGATTCTCCAGGTAAGAATACTGGAGCAGGTAGCCATTCTCTCCTCTAGGGGATCTTCCGGACCCAGGGATTGAACCCAAGTCTCTTGCAAGAATCTCTGGCAGTTCTTTAGCATATGTTAGAAAAGAGACTTATTTTAGTCTCATCATTTATTGTAATCTTGGACAAGTGACATGAAATTTATATTTTCTAAATTTCTCTTTTTTAATTAGTAAAATTAGAGAGTTAGACTAGGAAAACCTAAGGTCTATTTAATGTTAAATATGGTGTTTCAGATAATATGCTTGACAGATTCCTAGAGTTTAAGTGGGCAGGAACTATTATGTGAAGCAATATGGTTTGCTGATGTCTTAGAGCAAATTTTAAAAATCAGACTCCTTAAACACGTATGAAGAATGGAAGCAGTGATTGATAGGTTCCTATTGCTTCACAGTTTCATTTGGAAAGAACTGAAGAAAATAAATTCATTTTGTTTCTGAAAGGAGTGAGATTCCTGTATATCCATACCTTCCTCTTTGGTTTACATTATGTGGAGGAGGACAGAGATTTTGGCCTTTTAGTTGTTGTAAGCCCATACAAGATTAGTGCCTGCACTCCATGGACTTTCAATTATTTGTTGAGCAAATGAACTCTACATCTAAAAATATGATGGTGCAGCAAGATTTATAAACAGAGAAAACAAATAATTTTTGGAGCTAATGATCAGTGTAGCATCTTACGTTATTCAATGTTATGACCTCATTGAACAAGAGTGATTCATGGTAGTGAGAATTAAATAAGATTTTGGGAGGATATATAAGGATTTTGGAGTATGCATGCTAAATTCCCTCTGTCGGGTCCAACTGTTTGTGACCCTATGGACTGTAGCTCACTAGGCTCCTCTGTCCATGGAATTTTCCAGGCAAGAATACTGGAGTGGGTTGCCATGCCCTCTTCCAGGGGATCTTCCCCACCCAGGAATTCAGCCACATCTCCTGCACTGCAGGCGGAGTCTTTAAGGCTGAGCCACTGAGGAGGCCCTCCTTGGAGTATGGGGCCTGGGGCGTCTCATTTTGGTTCCTGTCCTCATCACCATACAGGTGCCTCGGGTAACTCTAACTGTTGGAGGCCATCCTGTTAACTTGCTTCTCTTTGGAGTATAGCACAGATATTTTTCATGAATGTTAGTTACATAATAACACTCATAATTTCAAATATTTAGAATAAAGACATTTGACTTATATTTAATATAAAACCTTAAGCTCGAGAGTTTTTTGTTTACTTGCTTGTTTGAGTTGTAAATACAATGTATCAGTGTACCAAGACTGTCTCTATCATATTGTTTTGCTTTGAGGAAATGCTTGCTACAAATCAATCAAAGTGAGTGAAAGTTACTCAGTCATTTCTGACTCTTTACAACCCCATAGACTGTCCATGGAATTCTTTAGGCCGGAATACTGGAGTGGGTAGCCTTTCCCTTCTCCAGGGAATCTTCCCAACACAGGGATTGAACCGAGGTCTCCCACACTGCAGGTGGATTCTTCACCAGCTAAGCCACAGTTCAGTTCAGTTCAGTCGTTCAGTCGTGTCTGACTCTTTGTGACCCCATGAATCGCAGCGTGCCAGGCTTCCCTGTCCATGACCAACTCCCGGAGTTTACCCAAACTCATGTCCATCAAGTTGGTGATGCCATCCAGCCATCTCATCCTCTGTCGTCCCCTTCTCCTCCTGCCCCCATTCCCTCCCAGCATCAGGGTCTTTTCCAATGAGTCAACTCTTCACATGAGGTGGCCAAAGTATTGGAGTTTCAGCTTCAGCATCAGTCCCTCCAGTGAACACCCAGGACTGATCTTTAGGATGGACTGGTTTGATCTCCTTGCAGTCCAAGGGACGCTCAAGAGTCTTCTCCAACACCACAGTTCAAAAGCATCAATTTTTTGGTGCTCAGCTTTCTTCACAGTCCAACTCTCACATCCATACATGACCACTGGAAAAACCATAACCTTGACCAGATGGACCTTTGTTGGCAAAGTAATGTCTCTGCTTTTCAACATGCTATCTAGGTTGGTCATAACTTTCCTTCCCAGGAGTAAGTGTCTTTTAATTTCATGGCTGCAATAACCATCTGCAGTGATTTTGGAACCCAAAAAAATAAAAATCTGACACTGTTTCCACTGTTTCCCCATCTATTTGCCATGAAGTGATGGGACCAGATGCCATGATCTTAGTTTTCTGAATGTTGAGCTTTAAGCCAACTTTTTCACTCTCCTCTTTCACTTTCATCAAGAGGCTCTTTAGTTCTTCACTTTCTGCCATAAGAGTGGTGTCTTCTACATATCTGAGGTTCTTGATATTTCTCCCGGCAATCTTGATTCCAGCTTGTGCTTCTTCCAGCCCAGCGTTTCTCATGAGCCACAAGGGTAGCCCAATTAATCAAAATAGTATATAATTCTCAAAAACTCACTGGGATATTTCAGATGTGAAAGCTATTTTAAAAAGGAAAAATAATAGTTGAATATGTTCTAGGGAAGCTCCCTGTTATAGTTTATGGGAACTATACGAAGAGCAACTTTTTTATTCCTACCCTTGACAGCATTTACTGTAA